TACCTNTATATATATATATATATATATATATATATATATATATATATATATATATATATATATATATATATATATATATATATATATATATATATATATATATATATATATATATATATGCATCCACAGGTGCAAAACACGTGAACATAGCTACACTAATTTTACAATGATCGGTTGTCAACCATTCATCGCATGATTTCACAACGAATTTTCACCATACTTTCAGGGCGTCACATCAAAAGGTCAAAGTAACCACATTGTATTGTATATCCACATAAAACATGTACGCCTGCAGGCAAGCTTAGCATCAATACTTGTAGGGCCTAACATAAGATCACTACATCTAGGGCTAAAAACTACAGAGTCGACAAGCAACCATTTCTTCACTACCTGGCATACGCTAGAATAAACCAGTCAGTGGGGGAACATCGTATTTACTTACATACTGCAACGAGCCTGACCTTCAATCCCTAAAAAACTTCATTCATCGGTATGAGCTCGATGTCGAGCTCGTATACACAGTATTCTCCATCTTACTAACCCACAAATTCACACCTTGCACGCCCACACAGCCACACTTGCACACCTGCATACGAACAATAGTATACGATAGTACTGGCATACATTGGTAAATACGTCGTCGGATCGCTACAAGCCCTGAAGCGGACCATCGAAAGGGTCTGTTATATCTACATACAAACTGTAGTATGTCTCGCCTAGAATTCTCGAAGGCGACCTCCCAATGGCATGCTTGAACACAGCAACGCCCATAATGCTCACCTACATGCAATATATCTAATCATACTAATACAACCATGCTACCAGTGGTCGATAGTAACGGCGTCGACAGGCAACCACGCCCTCGGATGTGCACACGCTCTGAAGCAGACCAATCAGAGAGGTCTGCTATATCTACCTACAGACTGTAGTGAGTCTCGTCTGCAATCCCTGAAGGAGTTTGCAGAGTGGTGCGAACTGGTACAAGAAGGGGATGAATGTGTGGCTACAGAGACAGCTGCGAAGAGGTTTGCGCAGGAAAATGGTATACCCTACGTGTCACCATACAATGACATGGATGTATTGGCTGGCCAAGGTATGGATTACCAGGTATTGCCAGGCTGTGGTGGTATACGTGCATGGTTTTGTAAAAAAGACGTGTAGCTATGGTATATATATATATATATAAAAATTCATAAATATAAACATATTTATTTATATACATATTTATATTTAT